TGGGTACTCAGATCCTTTCAAGAAAGGTACAATCAAACAGACTAAAAACTTTGTTGGTTCAATTCAATTTTTAAATTTAGTGCTAAGTGAAAATTTATAAGTTATAAATAGTATACTGATACAGTGGCCACAGCAACCCTTTGCTAATTCACCAGTTCTCCAAACTTGAGGCTCTATATTCCTGTGATACTACATTCTATTTTTTTAAATTGTTATTTTAATTACAAATTTATTGGTACATGTAATGATCAATTATCATCTAAAATATGGACATTCCTATCTATTCCACAAGAATTCTCCACAAGAACCGATGTCTTCAAATTCCAATTCAACCAGTGTGGAGGACCCTCTGATGTGGCTTCCTCCCTATTTATGTAAATGTTATAATTTATTTATTTTTCTATTTTTTTTTACCAGGAAACTTCATGTTGCCCCACAGTCAACAACATGCTGTTCACTGTGGAATGCTCTTCAAGTGATCTTTGTTCTGTTCACTGTTGGAACAATGATCTCCATGATGTGGTTCACAATTATCCTGAAAACATCACTGGAGTCAATGAAAAAACGAGTAACTTCATGTAAGTCATTGATACCTTCTTCTAGCCCACATGAGTATAAAATAATCTACTCACGATCTATCATCATGATGAATTATGATGGCCGCTTCTTTGCATTTTCAAAGTGTCTATGAAGAGGATGTAGATAAGTTTTGAACAACTAGTAGATTTATCCTAAAACAATTAGATTATTTGCTCTTGATTTCTATGTGTGATAGTTTATTTGGTCTGTGCCCTTGTCAGCTATCATAAGATAGAAAACTCAAACTCATAATGAAATAATATTGTTAATGTTTAGTTAGTTACACTCAAACCTAAGTAACAAACATTTCTGGTTGGAGAGTATATTTGTGTTCTGTATTTGTTTAAGCTGGGCACTCTTTATGTTAGGAGTTCAATATTCCAACATAGACAACTCAGAATTTTGATTAAATTTCATGTAAATTGATGTCTGGCTTGACCTGCTAGACACTGGAGAATTTCTTTAACATAAATCTTGAGCTGTTTGTAAACAAATGTTGAAAAAAATTGTGTTCTTGGTTCTCAACACTCATTGTTTTTAACCTCCATCAGGATTTATGCCAAAGAGCATTGCCTGCATTCAGGTTTTGGGAAAATGTTAACTAAGGAAGGGATACCGGTATCCTACACATGACCTTCTAACTATTAGAGGTTTGGTTGGAGTCCCACTTTGCATAGTTTTGTACTCTTCACTTCAAGTGTGGAAGTTTGAAACTAAACTTTATCAATATGTCAGTTGCTTTAGGCAAGGGAGAACCCTTCACTAATAGAGGACACCCACCCAAAAAGAATTGCAAACCTAAGAATAATTAAACTAATTTTCCTTACGAATGTTTAACAAATTATATATTTACCAAACCTGAGTTGAGAATATTCCACCTTTTGTTTAGTGTATGTATATTTACTTTCTCATAAACATTGTAGAATTAGATTAAGTCTTAAGGCCAAAAAGACCATCAAGGTTCAGGAGAAGACTCATAGATTTTTTTTTTCACTTCTCAAATAACACTTGGAATATTTATGAAGGAAAATCCATGAATAGATATCTATCTTCTGTATTTTTCGCTGTGATGAAAAGAAAAGAAAGAGGCTTAGTCCAGTTAAACTAGTTGTTATTTTGTTCCAGCTTGATTGTACTCAACTGTAATTGCAAATTTGGGTGACAAAACCTCAACTT